ACTAGCTACATATAAGGATCAACACGTATAATCGATCCCATATCGATCGCTTGCTCGTCCAACAGTAAATCAACTGGCAAAAAAGGGTACCCCGGATCTCACCAGTTCTCATGGAACTTTGAATCAAGACCTGGATACATCGATAGAGCTTCAAACGCAGATTGCGTGCATTAAAACTGCCAAAAGAACCTGCCGCGCTGTTGTGCGCAGTAGGTCGCCAGAAGTAAATTTGAAGCTACGTCAAAGCACATAGAGTCACCGTAAGAGGGTGGTAGTACTCTCCGCTCTGTCCGAGCCGTTAGTGATGAGTTCTTCTCCTGTTGGAGTGCAAATTTCTACTCCACGAGGATTCTGAATTCCAGACTCTAGCACGGTTTTTTGTAACGCTTAAGTTCCACCCACCTTGACTGCCCACAACTTCCTCGTCATCATTCTGCAGATTTATTTTCCACACTTGTAATCGGTGTTTGAGGCTCTATCGAAACATCTAGGTCTCAAATAAAAGTTCCTTGTGGATCCGACTTCCCCAGTTAGGCCATAGTCTCTTGAGTTCTTTTTTGCACCACTACCACCCTCAACCACATTCACTTACAGTTCTTCTTTAGTACCATCCGCCTCTAAAACGAACAAGCTGCTAAAATTTATCAGGCATCAGTTTTCGATCGCTCAAGTATTGGTAATGCATGGAACGGGGACCCGGCATGCCCGTCGCGCGGCGGAAAAGCAGAGTCAGCGGACGAGTCGCAGCGCATGCTGCTGTGATTTCGCGTCAAGGTAAAGAATGTACTACTGTACGTCCTACATAGCACATCACGCACTGTCACTCGTCCGCTTATTCTGCCTTCTAGCCGCGCACGAGCTTCTTGTCCTTTCTTGAATGGGTGCCTTTAGCACACGTTCGCTCAGCGGAATATGACGCTCGGCGTCACCGTGTTACGACTAACCTTAGCGGCAATTCCGGAACGATTAACTGCCGCGCAATTCTATCGCCTACGGCGCGAACGAAAGATTTGCAGTGATTTGTCCTTTCTGTCGCACTGCATATTGTGCTCTTTGTCAGTGAGGATAGCACTGTTGTCCTTTAACCAGGAATTGCTCTGAAATTATCCCGAGCGTTTCTTCTCAATTTTCGAAAGGAAAAATTATTCTTTAGACTCATTGTTAGGCGGGATATGCAAGCAGGGTCAACCGTCACGTTGGACCGATTTCAGGATTTTTACGACCCCCCCCCCTCTTCGAGTATCTCCATACGACCCCCCCCCTTATTATGTACGGTACACTGTAAGGAAAAGCTAACACTAGGGGAAGTAAGTGCAATCTACAAAATATCTAAGGACACTTGGCTTGAATTCAAACACAGTAGCAGACGAACTCTAGTTTCCTGATATCGTAATTTACTTATGCATAACATCGCAAAACGGACTGCCTTTATTAGGTGCTGAACAGTACTGCCCATTAGTTTGAATGGCGCTTTGCCTGCCTTTCATGACTTGGCGTTCAGAATCACAAAAATTTCCATCGATATGCAAACGCATCAAAAGGGGAATATTCACAATGATTTCAAGTTGCAAACGAATGCATGGCGCATCTCAGAGCGTGAGAGTATACAGCAGAAGTGTCCGACCGGAGCACGGTAGCGTTGCGTTCGCATTGGCGCGCGCAATCTTCCCCCTCGGCGCAGCGCGGGTCGCGAGAAACAGACTATTGACTTTCAAATAAGCGTAATTTTGTTCAATATCAATATTTTTCAAATTGCTAAGCGGATTTGTAATCTACTTAACTGCTTGTTTTCAGAGGATCACATCTATTATGCCTTATCTTCAAAAGTACGTCGGTTATGGGGTAGAAAACAAAGAATTTACAGAAATGTGCACTTCTTCATTTGAAAGGTTGTAACTTTCTTCAAAGAAGGAACTATGAGGAGCGGTAAGAAAATTTGGAAAGATCAGACTGTTTTCTTTCTAAAAAAAGCTCTAGCTTTTGCAAAATCTTTTTCCTCCGAAAAATCTCCCCGTTGGACCGTTTTTTTTTTTTTTTCGCAAGACCAGGTTTTTTGGCTTTCAATTACTATAACTTTCTTCAAATTCCACCTTTTGCAATTATTGTCCCCCTGGGTTGGAGAAGAAAGTTATTTTTTTTTTTTTTTACGAGCTTTCCAACGTGTACTTGAACTTCCTTCAATGTTGACGGAGTCAAAAAATCGCCCCGTTGGACCGTTCTTGGGAAATCGTGGACCGATTTTTTGGAGAGCGCAGGTTTTTTGGCTTCAAATTGTTATAACTTTCTTCAGATTGAACTTTTTGCAGTTCTTATCCCCCTGAATTGAAGCAGAAGGTTAGAGCTTTCCATTGAATACTTGAGCTCCTTCTAAAGTCGAAGGAGTCCCAACCAAGAATCCGCTCGTTTCAATCGTTGGACCGTTCTTTTTTCACGAATTCTCGGAGCTACTCTCCTGAAAACGCAGGTTTTCAACACTTAAACACTGATAACTGTCTTCAAACTCAATTTTATCGGGAATAATGATACCGTGACATCGCACGAGCTTTGTGCTTCATTAGAGATGCTGAACCTTTTCTAAAGAAGTTGCCGACAGGCAAATATTTTTGTTCCCAAACTTTTCTTGTAGCACTTTAGAAGTCAATCTACCATAGTGGTTACTCTTTTACTAACTTATGTCCAGTTTGAAGGCATTGGTTCACCTCTAGAATTATATTTGTGTACGTGAGCATGGATACTTTCGCAGTAGACTCTTCTGCTCCAGTGTGCGCCATGCCCTCGCTTGTGCTCAATATTTGAAGAAACACTCCGAAGTTTTACCTCTCACCTACTGCCGCGGGAACTAAGTCTTGATTCTAATCGTTCGATGGTCCCAGCAAGAGCCAACAACTGCGATCTTCATCACAACGCCCATTAAGTTCCTTATAGCGAAAACCACCTCTCGTCACCTACACCCAAAAACCTCTTCGTACTGCAACGTTGACTCCTGCGAATACGACCCCCCTCCCTCTGGCGCAGCCAAATACGACCCCCCCCCGTTGGACTTTGTCCAACGGACGGTTGACCCTGTATGCAAGCACTTGTGTTCCATACTTCTTTTGCCATCCACACTCAACTACCTCGGTTTTCAAACTCTTGAGCAGGAACAAACCCAGCAGGCCTATTATGCAAATTAATCTGACGTACCCTCGTTAAGCATATGCTAAGCCGAAGCTGTACATATTTGGGAGCGAACGAAATGACGTCGATAACGTTTGTCGAACGGCTCGGCAGAACCAAGTAGGGGCTCCAATTCATCGAAATAGATGGGGAATATTCGAGCAAATACCGATCAATTACAGACAAAAGACCCAGTGTGTAAAGTATTTACTTCATCAGAAACGATTTGCGGTGAAAATAATAAGAAATTGCTATGGTCTGCACGGAAGGCCTTAAAGACAGTGAACGCGACTACTATAAGACGGAGCCTTTCCGACGACGTCACTGAGCGTCAGTGGTGGAAAGAGGTTGAGATGTCGCTCCAACCACGCCCCCAACGCGCTGAAAGCTCTGGTCAATCAATCAACAGTGTGTGATGATGTCATGAAAACCGCTCCGCCCCCCCCCAGTCATTATGATCACTGACTTTGAAGCAGTCGCTCTAATGCGATTGAAGGTCACTATAATATATTTGAGAGGCAAAGTTCTCTTGTGATGATAGCTAGCAGTAATACTTCTGTTCGAACTGAAGAGTAGGCATCTGATCTGGACTTGTTTTTTTTTGTATTTTTTCCATGCACTAGCTGATGGGACTGGAGGTTATGCGGAGGTGAGGAGGCGGTGTGGCGCTCTTCACGCAGCCTATGAGAATAAGGATCGAAAGTCGGATATCTTCTGGTTGATTAAGCTTTCCATTTGTTCGTAGTCGCCACTTGGCTCAACTCGGCTTGCCTTAGATTCTAACACCTGCGTTTCGCTGTCCTCACTGGACATTTTGTACTTCCAAATCTTAAACAAATTCCGATACTGTATGGTTAATAGAGTGCGTGGCGCAGCCAGCTTTGGAAAAAATAATGATTAATAGTAGTCTGTTATCCTTTAAGCTAACTTTGACCAAACATCTATATATCTGCGGGAAATTCACTTAGTCCTAGACCGCAGCGGATAACGAATCAATTATTCGAAGAAAAAATGAAAAATAGTAACCAATCAAAAAATTACATTGCAGAATGTTCGGCACCAGATCAATTGTGACGCTTTTCGGCTTTTTCTCTGCTCTTTGTACTGCACTTATTCCACTGTGTGCTTGTCTTGGGTTCTATTGGATGGTTGTAATGCGATTTCTGCAGGTAGGGTATTGACCATTTATACATCGTTTTTAGTTTCAATTAATCTGGGCGCGCAAGCCGCGCTAGCAGATGAGCACTTGTCTTTGTCTATCTATTTTATCCAGTGACAGATACTTCCGTGCGATCGCTACCCCCGCCCGGCCTTATACTTTTAAGAAACATCGCACGAACCTACCTGCCTACTTCACTCGAGAAGTTCGACTCTCATTCGACGTGGAAAGTAGCAGGAAGCCGCTACTGAAGGCAGCCAGATATGGTGTGCTTTCCGCGGCGAGGAGAGGAGCTGAGGCCTTCGCTTACCGCGCTGCGACCGGCTGCGCAGTGGCTCTTTCAATCCCGAGCCACGTGGTGTCCGTGCCCTGCTCCCATACACAGCAATCTCTCAGCCTTTTCCTTTCCTGCGCACCTGCTTATGTTTCTCGCCTTCATGGGCCACAGAGTAAGGCGTCTCCGCTTGGCAGCTTGCTATGTGCATTGTCAACTACGTTATCTGATTTTCAAACAAAATAATGTAAGAATCCATCTAAACCCATGCTTTTGACTATTTGACTCTCAATTTTTTTTATCAATGAACAATATTTTAACATTTAAGGTACTGCTTGCCAGGGTACAGGTCTTTCGACTGGGTTCATTCTTATTGGTACCGTCACTCGACAATGGTTCCATGCAAAAACAGAACGCATTTTTTATCGCTTTTCTGACATGTTTTTTCCAGGTAAGGTGCGGTTTTGTTAAAGGCGCAGACATGTTTAATAGTCTTGCATGGAAGAAAGCGAACTTTTCGTCTTTTGCGGAAATATTGCATGCCAACAGATGCAGGAGGTTGGTGCGTCAGCGAGAACCTGCGGTGAAAAAATCATTGATATTAAAAGAATAGAGCTGGGAAATGGATGAGAAGATCATTGATTGCTCATGGGACGACTGTCGCACCTTTAGATTGGTCCCATATTTACAATGCCTGTCGCTGCAGCGTTGTGTACCTCCTCTCTTGGATGGCCATCTGTTTATTATTTACATGCCCTTGTCACCTGTATTTTGTTTCTGATGTTTCTCTATTTTTACAGGTGAGGTTTCGTAGATTCGAAACTAATCAATATAATTGTTGAACCAATTTATCTCCAGAGAACAACCACAAACACATGCATTCGTATCTGCTAAGGAACTGGATCGTATCAAACGTGACAAAGGAGAAACAGACAAAAGGGAACCGCTGCCCTTGAAGGTATATAGTATTCATCACATTCCTAGCTCACTTGATCTGTCTTTGTCGCTCCAATAGTTCAAAAGCGTCCTTGCGACGTGTTGTCAACGCACTCCTCGAAAGGCATGGTGCCAGATTCTGATTCTGGTTCTACAGCTTTTCCTACAGAAAGCGCTGATGGCGGATAGCCACGCGATACAATTTTTGGTTAGATCTTACACAAATGCCGAATGCACGACGATCTGGTGAGTGCAGCATTGGCCCTCGTTCAAGCACCATTGACCTAGCGCCCAGAAATCGATGCCTATTCACTTTGGTGGTGCGTGCTGGTGGAGAGAGGGCTTTCATTTTCGAGTCCAATGTCGTACGTTTTTCCCGTGTCTTCCATTGCTGCGTTAACGTTCTCGTCTACCGCTCATCGCTTGCAACCGCAATAATACACCAGTTCAACTCCGGGCTTATGCTTTTAAGAAGAAGCTCTACAAAAATGAAATGTCGACTTCCTCAATGATGTCCAATCGAAGGAAAAAAAGGCTTACAAGAAACTTCGTCTCAATTTCGTAATGGGCTCCACTTCTCAATCGTCGTCAAAGATGAAGAGATATTCTGCTGTCGGATCCTTGAATAAAGCGCTGCCCAGTGCTCAGTGGATCAGTGCTAGTGAAGAGTCAACTTTAGCCATCAGTGGTGGTTTTGCAAGAAATATGGGAGCACCAATCATTGAACCAAAGATACATACTTTGGGCCTCTTGCAAGATATAAATTTGGACTGCAAGGACTATCACAATCCCCTCCTTCAGACTCAGATTATCTCCCAGGATAGGAGCACCATCGGTAGATAGGAAGTGCTGAGCATAAAGGCAAGACTGACTGCCCACCCACAACACGGAGATTTGTCGAAATTGTTGACCAATGCAATTGTTACGGAAGTATCCTTCTATTTTATAAAGCGCTAACTTTGTGTGTCGGTTTGTATGTCTGTATGTGTGTATGTGTATGTATGTATGTGTGTCCGTCCGCAAAATGAAGTGGTAGGGAAACTCGTGAAGTAAACAGACCGTTAACAAAATCGAGTAACTATGACTTTAGCAATCAATGTTTTGCAGTGCTATCAATGTGATAACACCCCAACGGCTATATAAACACCTACTGAGCATGGTCTCATTCATTCCACATGATGCTGCAATAGCAGCTGGAGAGCAGTAGAGGGAATAGGATAAGATGGAGAAGGGCGAGGGGAGCTAACCGCCAAAAGACCTGAGGTCCAATTAATATCATTCTAAGGTCATGTCACGATTACGGTAATGCCTTCTACTATATAAGACACTTTTTTGTGCATGCGTGCCACCTCCACGAGGTGTCCATGTCACCAGTGGATGGGAGCACATTGGAAGGAGTAAAGCTTACGCAGGTAAGGAGGTCCCGGTGGTTGCCGGGGGACCAATCTGGTTTTTCATATAAGAGAAGAACATAGCCCTTCAACTCAAACGACATGAACTGATATTTATTGGATCTGCCGAAGGCAAGCCACTCTAATGAACACACTTAGAACGTCGATCTACAAAACAGTTTCTTAAAAGCGTTAACCTACCCGACGATACCTACTTACACAGCAAGAAAAATGAGTTACTAGGAAGCCCTTGTTCAAGCATCAACACTGAAGGCGCTCATTCCAATCCCTACTATATATAATGCGCTATGTCTGTCTGTCCGTCTGTCACGAAATTCGGTATCAAGCGAACAACAACCTACAGGGTCCAGGTCAAGTTTGGGATGGGTATACCATATCCCTAGAAGTAAAAAACACACATCAGCCAAGCGGAGCCCCGCCCACAGTGGGCGTGGCGTGCATCGGTTGATTCCAAATACAGTCAAAAACAGCCTCGAGACTGGACAAAAAGTGGTTATAAATGTGCGTTGGTAAGCCAGATTGCATTGGGGAGACCCACCCTCGGTGGGCGGGGCGTTCTCTGGAAAAGCGGTGCTCAATGAAAAATTCATAACTCGGTTAGGAGGAAGCCTACAGAGCAGAAAAGAAATTAGTGCAGGGAGCAATGTCTAAGGTATTTCCAGCACACATGATGTGAACGGAGGTCCGCCCACAATGGGCGGAGCGTGTCCTGAAGTAGACGACGTTTTCTACAAGAGCTCATAAATCGGCTCTGAGATGACTTGGAAACCTGAAAACAGTGGATACAGGTTAGGAGAAGAGGAGAAGCTAAATGTCAAGGCTGGGCGTAGCTTACACCAAAGTGGGCGGAGTTTGCAACCAGCCTCATAACTCGGTTCCTATGAGTCCCGGGGTGTGGGGAAAAGCGTATAAGTGTTGGCAGAGGGAAGGGGGTCAAGTGCTGTGGGCAGGTGGAGCATGCATTAAAGTGGGCGGAGTTTGCCACGGTACTTCATAACTCGGATCCAATAAGTTCCGGAGATGGGAAAATAGTAGAATGAGGTTGGGGAAGAGATGATAGTCATTTGGTATCGGTGAGCGAGGCATGTAACGAAGTGGGCGGGGTTTACCACAACGATACGTTGCTCGATTTCGTCCCCTACAAGACCTCATAATTCGGCTCCGAGATGACTTAGAGACCTGAAAAAAAATACGCCAGAGGTGAAAGTAGGAGTAGAGGTTGAATGTGAACGCTGGGCGTGGCACACCCGGATGTGGGCGGAGTTTGCCACCGCTCTCATAACTCGGTTCCTAGAAGTTCCGGCGACCGGGGAAAATGTGCATAAGTATTGAGGTATGGAGTAGGGTTGAATGCCATTGTTGGGCTAACCATGCACCAAAGTGGGCGGGGTCTGCCTCAGAAATTCGTGACTCATAACGCCATTTACAAGACCTCATAATTCGGCTCCGAGATGACTTAGAGACCTGAAAAAAATACGCCAGAGGTGAAAGTAGGAGTAGAGGTTGAATGTGAACGCTGGGCGTGGCACACCCGGATGTGGGCGGAGTTTGCGGCGTAAGTAAGATGTACCGAGCAGAAAGCTAAAATCAAGACAAAAATACTGATGGGCCCGATTTTACCGCTGCAGCCCCGTCTCATGCACGCGAATGCGTGCGCAGCCAAACTGTGTTATAACGTTGTCTTTTCTTGCCACTATTCTGTTCTCTTCTTTGTTAAGCCGAGTATAATTGTGTGCAACCGAAATTGTTCAATAGAAGCCATTAACAAATACGTAATCTAGCCTGATTGTGTTTGCTTTCATCCGCTTCCGTGTACGGGTTCTGTTAAAAACTGACAAATTAGGTTGGAGTATATCGCACAGCTAATAGTAATGGTAAAGGTTCTTCTTCCTATTATGGCGGCCTGTGACTCGAAAAACTTTTGTGGCAGTAGGAGCTGCACTGTTTGAGTCCAATGTTCATGCTGGCAGAGAATTTGGCTCACACTTCGACCTCTGGGATCCTTATATGTAGCTAGTATCATATCAACGACCATCATCCTTCCGTTGATAACGTTACATAGAATAACTCAAAAATACGGTCGCTCAACGTGAGTACCTTCTTCAAAATGAAGAGCAAAGTAAGGCGGGCAGTATCGGCCTTCAACCAATCATAGCCCGAGGCCTCCGCGCTGAGGCTGGCCACACCACGGCAGGTTGCGCTTTGCAGAGTTAGGTATCCTAGACTGGATGAGCGCGTCCTTCGCCACGACACAAGCTTCTTTTCGCTTATTTGGGGGCCCGGGATTCTTTATACTAGGCATATCTTCCCTTCTTCTACAACATTTCACCGTAAGCAACAAGCTCCGCTTTCAAGTAAAAGAACAACACGTTGTCGTTGTTGGCAACAACACACAAGAATCTGGCGGGATACGCCATGCATCATGCATTTTACTCCTATCGAGAGGAAATCTTAATCTCCTCAGTTCCACATCCCACTCACGAAAAACACAAAGGTGCATGCTTCCGTTTCCAATTTGAAGGAGATGATCAATGAGTTATGGATGGAACACTCTTCCTTGAGGCAGAGCTCAAAATCACGCTAACGTTTTCGGACATCGTGCTGGTCAAACGTCACAGCAACATTCGACCTTGACAAAGTTCCTTAAAGCAACAGTCTCGCATGAAATTGGTGGAGTAACAACACGTAACAGACTGTTTTCATTCGCATACGTTGCTTGATGAACTAGTTGGCCGGCATCCTTAACACATTGACGACATTGAGACGCGGTAACGCGTCTCACTTTGCGCACCTCGTTGGACATTGAGACGCGGTTGCGCGTCTCACCCTTGTCATCCCTTTTTCTAGCGTATGCGGGGATTCTTCCCAATTGCTTGTCTCTATGGATTACAACATAACATAACTGTAAACGACATGGGTCACGGTATGATCAAATATGCTCCAGTTTAGCAGAAGTTTTTTAAGCACAGCGGAATTGGCAGCTCGGTTCATTCCTCGTTTTCTTCCTATTCTCATGAACATGTCAGTGAGAAAGGGTAGTGAAAGTAAATACAAACTTAAAGGATAGAAAATATATGTTTCACTTGGCACATCCACATCGAAAATAGTTTTGGCATCCACTACAGAGAAAATGACTAAAGTTTCCTTTTTCATTACCATTACATGTTCTTTAATCGGAATTTCGTCACTATATACTCTATTACCTTCTACGCATTGAATATTGCTGAAATGTTTTTGTACCACTGTGCTTTAAAAAGTTATCAATAAAAATTTACGGATTCCGAGGTGCGGCGGTCGCACTCGCAAAATCGCCCTGTCCCACGTGGCCAAAAAAGCCAAAACGCGCGCTGTTCTCAATGTGTTAATTTCGACCCGAGATAAAATTCACTTTCGGAACACAGAAAAGTACCTGAATTGAGCCACATTACTGGATAGACAGCCACCATTGCGCCGATGGCCACAACCGAAAATAAAATATTCTTCTCATTCGGCGAGTAGGCATAGTTATGTCGAGCATAAACTGCCTGATCATGTTCCAGTAAATCCGACGAGTTGCCAACCTAAACGACAAAAATATGTACTTTGAGCTCAATCCCTCACAATCCTT